GGTGCCTGACACCCACCACTAAGCAGTAAAGCTTTGTTTTGGCTCACAGTCTGTAGCAGTTTGAGTCCACAGGTGGCTGGCTCCAAGGCAGGGCAGTATGGCAGAGGAGTCTCGCAAAGGAGAAACAGTCCATGGCATGGCAGCAAGAAGCAGAGAGAGATCCAGGAAGAAGGGAGACGGACTTTTCCAGGCCACGCCCCCAGTGACCCACCTCCTCCAATCAGGCTTCACCTCCCATATCACATTCAGTTATAAACTCATCAGCGGACTAATCCAATCACTACCCTAAAGCCCCACTTACGAGTGCATAAGGCTTGCGGGACGTCCAAGTTCAAACCATAACATATAGGATAGAGTTCCCAACATATCCAGTTAGTTTCTCCTCTTCTTAATGGGTCACATGAGTATGGGGCGTTTGTTACAACTAACTAGTGAACATTGTCACACTACTGTTAACTAACACCCATACTTGAGTTCGTTTCCTTAATTTGCTTAATGTCCTTTTGCTATTGTGGCATCCCTCCACTACATCATGTTTCTATGTCTTTAGGCCCCTCTTGACATGACAGTTGCTCAGGCTTCTCCTGTTTTTGATGACCTTAACAGTTTCAAGGAGTCCTGGTCAGGTATGCTGTAAAATATCTCTCCAGTGAGATGTATCTGTTGTTTTTCTCATGATTAGACTGGAACTATGGGTTTTAAGGAGAAGGACCATAGGGTATGAAGAATACACATTATCAATGGGATTTATCACTGTTGATGTTGGTGCCAGCCTTAGTCACCTGGCCGAGGTGACTGGCAGATTTCTCCACTGCAAAGTTACCCTCTCTCCTTGTTTTCCACAATGTACTCTTTGGAAAGAAGTTACTGTCAGCCTGCTCCTCCTCCTTACAATTAGAGCACTCACAACGATTATTTGAAATTCTTTTGCATGAGAGATTTGTTTGATGTCCATTTATTTATTTATTCACAAACTTTAGGGGTCTTTCCATGTGTACATTTTTTTAGAGTAGGGGCTGGGGATTTAGCTCAGTGGCATAAGCACCTGCCTTGCTAGCAGGCGGTCGTGAGTTCGATCCCCGGTACCGATAAAAATGAAAAAGACAAAAAAAAAAAAAAAAAAAAAAAGATTTAGAGTACCAAAGGTTCATAGCAAAATTGAGCAAAAAAAAAAAAAAAAAAAAAAAAAAAAAAAATGGAGTTAGTTAACAAAAACAAAATCCAAGTAATCTCATTAAATGAGGCCCAAAAAACATTAAAAAACAAAAGACACACAAAGGTCCCAGGGGCACATGTAAAGCTCCCCCACATCACTACTGCTTAGAGAAAGACAGATCAGAGCCATGATGAGCTGTCACCCCACACCTGCCAGTGAGACCACGGATAACCAACAGTACAACCATTATGGAAAAAGAGTGGAGAGATTTTGCAAAAACATAAAAATAGAGCTACCATGAGACCCATCATCTCATTTCTGAGGATATATCCAGGGAAGACAGAGACATGACCTCAGAGAGATGTCTGCATCTTATGTTGTGGCTGCGTGGTTCCCAATAGTCAAGACGCGGATCCCATCTAAGTGTCCATCGCCAGGCGGATTTTTTACTCTTCTGGCTCAGCACTTGCTGGGCTCTCTTCTTTCGTGTGCTTCAGTGGAATCTCAGCACATTCCTGGCAGTTTCTCCAGCTGCTTTTCCAGGTCTTTCTGCCTCTGCCCCAGACTCAGCGGCCCCAGCTGGTGCTACGCCTCTGTGTGCAAACTCCTGACGCACTCGCCTTTCTGATCTTGGCAAGAACCCTTCTGGGGCTGTGGCAGCCTCTTCAGCCAGTTCCATGTGGCAGGAGAAGCTATTTATGTCTTTTGGAAACCCCATCATCTGGGCAGGAAGTGACCAACTTCCTGGCAGGGAAGCAAAATCATCTTCCCAAAGGGAAGGTGAAAACGCGGATCTGTGATGTGCAGTTTCCTCTCTTTTCGTCTGTCCTGGCTCACCCAGCCTCATAGTGCATGGCTGAAGGCCTCTACTTGGGACAGAAGCCCACCCCGGGTGACCCACTCAGGCTCAGACCTGCACCTTGAGTGTGGCAGGGATTTATACAGCTTCACTTGAATCAAGGGGAATTTCCTAGGGCTGGAGCCCTGTTCCTGTCTACTTTCTGCACCTGTGGGTCCTTTCTTGGTTAACATATCTTTTTTGCTCCAAATGAAATTCAGTGTGTGTCAGGCCTCTGGGTCAAGGCGGACAATGCCATGGATACTGAGAGGGATGCAAGCTTTCTTCTAGAAAGAGGAAGCAAAAGTACATTGTGGAGCTAGCGTGTGCCCCCACCTCCCCCACCAAGCAAAGTGAAAGCTCCTGTGCTGGCCTGAGCACCCAAGAACTCAGGGTCAGGGACGGGGAAGAGATGGGGTTGGGAGTCAGCGCACGGCGTTTCTCCAGGGCGATGCCCAAGAACGTGCTTTCCCTATGGTTGCTGCAGATGCTGTCTGTGAGACCTTGCTATAATCCAGCAAAGGTGACAGGTGCAGTGACTTCCGGCTCTGCTGTCATTTTGGTTTTACAATCTTTTTTCCAAGAGGATCATACTCCATTTTACCAGTCAAAGCTGTGCCTCCAATGTTTACAGAGACCCAGAGTCACCCCACTATGTCCCTATGGGACACTCAGCATGACTGGCCTCAAGGACAAAACTGAAACTCGAGAGGGCCGGGCATGCAGCTCAGTGGCACAAGTGGCTGCCTGGCAAGTGTGAAGTCACAAGCTTGGTTCCTGGTACCAAACAAACAAACAAACAAAAAACCTCAAATTCTTGAGTTGGCTTTGGAATGCAATTCCCTCTCTCCGCTATACTCTCGCCAACCGCTGTTGCTGGCTTCACCTCAACAATGCCAAACGGGCACTCACTGTTCAGTCACCCTTCTCCTGGGATTAGGGTTCCCAGGCAGAGTCAGGCCAATCTATCCACCCGCTCCAGGCTGACCCACTCCTGGGACTGGTTCTCTCTGCTCAATGTCCATTTCTATGGGAGGTTCAGAAGAGCCCTCTTTTGGTGCCCATGAGGGGCGGAGATGTTGACAGGCTGGCGAACCTTGGTGTGGTCATTCTTCTGCCCTGGTCTGGCATGTGGGCTCTGCCCTCTGTGCCAGTGGTACCCTTCTGTGCTATTCACCTGACACACTGACCTGGTGGACTCTCAGATGACAAACCAAGGCCCTAGTGATAATATTCAAGAAGGCAGTGTTGGAGGAGCTGGGGTCCCCACGTCACCCTCTTGTGACCCCGGCTGACCTTCATTTCCCTGAATGAGAAGGTTGGGAGACCTTATCCCAACTGGGTTGGAAGGTGTGATCTATTTGTTTGCTGTGCGTCCCTTCTGTTCCTTTTCTTTGTCTTCTTTTGGATTAATCATTCCATTTCATCTCCATTATTGGCTTATTCGTGGTGTCTTTTTTTTCTTTTTTTGATGGTTGCAGTCTGTAGTTTCCAGCACACATCTTTAACTTACCCCAGTCTCTTTTCAAATGATTTTATACCATTTCTCAGCTAGGGAAAGCATCTTCCATCAATACTTTTCCAAGCCCTCGGCCAGCCTTGTGTTATTGTTGTCTTACATTTCACTTCTGTGTATGCTACAAGCCCCAAGATAGGTTGTAATTATTATCACACTAACCACTACCCTTTTAAACAGCTTTAAAAGCAAGAAAATTTTCTTTTATATTTACCTAATATTTATCGTTTCTGATGCTCTTTATTCCTTTGTGTAGCTCCAAATTTTTGTCTAGTATCATTCTCCTTTTGCCTAAAAGATTTTTATTTTAAAAAATTATTTTCTTCTAGTGCAACAAATTCTTTCAACTTTTCTTGGTCGAAAAAGTCCTCATTTTGTCTCTCTTTGTGAAAGATCTTTTCACAGGGCATGGAATTCTAGGTTGACAGCTTTTCTTCTCAATAAAGCAGAGATTTTGCCCTACTCTCCTCTGATTTACAACATTTCTCCCAAGAATGCTACCACTCTTGTCTTTGTTCCTCTTTGATGAATGTCTTTTCTCTCTAACCATTTTTAGGGTTCTCATTTTTATTACTGCTTTTCAGAAATTTGACTGTGAATGTTGCGTTTATTCTGCTTGGAGTTTATTGAGTGACTTGTATTTGTGAGTTGATGGTTTCCATCAGTTTAGAGAAAATTTCAGCCCTTAGTTTTTCAAAAAAATTTTGTTGCCCTCCTCCCTCCTGTAGGATTCAAATTACAGGTATATTACACAGCTTGGTATTACGTTGCAGGTAATCAGACTCTGTCTTTCATCTTATTTTCTTTGGACAAGTTCTATAGCTATCTCTTCAATTCACCCATCTTTTCCTTTGCATTGTCTGATTTTTTTGTTAATCTCATACATTTTTACTTCAGATATTGTATTTTCTTCTGCAGTTTCATTTGGGTCTTTTTGTATCTTCCATTTCTCCTTTTATTGTGTTCCTGCTCTTCTGTATCTTCCTCAGCAAGTGGAACATGTTTATTTATTTATTTATTTATTGGGCTTTTTCTTTTTTATTGGTACCAGGGATCGAACTCATGACTGCCTGCTTGCAAGGCAGGCGCTGATGCCGCTGAGCTAAATCCCCAGCCCCGTGGAATATGTTTATAACAGCAGATTTAACGCTCTTCTCTGCTAATTCCATCACTGTTGCCATTTCTGGGTCTATTTCTACTGGCTGATTTTTCTCCTGGCGGGAGATACTATTTCCCTATTTTGATGCAAGCCGGGAAGTTCTGACTGGTTGCAGGCTATGGTGAATTTTACATCGCTGGCTGTTGGGTTTTGTTGTAGTCCTGGGAATACTGCTCTCCTTTGTTCTGGTATGTAATCAACTCACTTAGAGTCAGTCTGATGCCCTGAAGACTTGCTCACAAGCATTTTTAGGGTGCATCTAAAGCAATAGTTAGATTAGAACCAATTTACCCCACTTCCTGGCCGGTGGCTTGCTAAGGACTCTGCAAGATTCTCTGTCTTATGAGGTCTCTTCATGGTGGCTTATGGGAACAGAATTCCGTGGGCTTCAAGAATTCGGGGTGCATTGCTTTCTAGTTTTGAATGTTTGCACCCTTTCCTGGTGTCCTGTTTTCTCTCACACACGTGCAGATCAGTATTCACCCACTGTGCCTCGGGGCAGGCGTCTCCTCTCTAAGGTGCTCCAGCTGGCTCTCTAGCCTTCTCGGTGTCCCCCATCTAAGTGAGACCCCTTCCCCCGGGCTCTCCTCCATCCCCCTCCCCCACACTCAGCCTGAAAAGCGCCTACCGCCAATCAGGTGAAGCAATCCCGGAATTCACCGTGGATTTCTGCCCTAGGCTCAGCGTGATCGCCTGTGCTGTTATCCAAGCTCTGATACCACGTGTCCTTGGGCTTGCCAACATTTTAGTTAGTTAAAGAAGACAGAAGATCCCTGGAGTCTCTGGCATTCTGTCATGGGCAGGAGCAAATTAATTCTATACCATGGTATTTAACATTAGGATCATTTTACTGAATAGCAGATTCTGGTCAGTTTTGAATTTTATGACACAGCTTACTAAATATCTTTCAAAACTGTGCCCTTGTTCATTTATTTATCACACAACTGTCTGTTCTCTCCTTTGCTGCAGGATACGAATAAAGCAGGGAATGAAACAGGTAAGGTCACAGTCTCAGAAGCTTTTACTCGAGCAAGGGAAGACAGGTAGAATATAAAATAGTAAATACACAACAAGCCTTGGCGTGAGTGCATCGGTGCTGTAAAACAACATGTGTTGGTGAGCAACCAGGGCGGCTATTTACGAGTGTTTAAGGAAGTCCTCCCTGCAAGGCTGATGTGATCGGACTCATCGGTCAGAACAACCGTGTGCACATCTGGGCGTAGCGTGTTCCAGGCAGAGGGAACAATAACTCATCACAGCAGCCCAGGAAAGTAGCAAGCTTGAACTAGTGGAGAAGCAGGGAGAATGGTTTGGTTGGAGTAGAGTGAGCTAGGGAGGCGAGGCTTTGTGGGGTGAAGAGTCTTGAGCAGTGTGTATGGTATTGGACTCATTATACGTTAAATAATGCACTTACTTAAACCTATCCTACGTTAGGTTTTTATTTTTAAAATGCTCTATCATCATTTATACTGCAACAAACATTTGTGTTATGTTCTGTGTTTAGAATGATTTTAATGGGCGGAATTCCAGGACTGGAATGGAAGAATGTGAGGCTGTTGGTGGTCCCAGGACCCCTGCTACACCACAGTACCCTGTGGACGCTGATGGTGACTTACACTGGGGACTGGGGGGCACCTCCCCAGGAACCTGGGAGGGACACCCATACATAGCACTAGTCAAGAACCACGTGGGATATAAAGCACTGGCCTCACAAGGCACCGACATTCCTGCTCACTGTGGGACATGGCTGGGTGCTTTTTCTACTCTTGAGTTCCTGGAAGGATCAGGTTGAGGCCACATTTCTGGGGACACCACATTCCTGCTTGGCACCTCTCCTTTCCCGTCTTACTCCTTCCCTGCCTTTCAGGTTTCATCAGGTCACCTGCATCACAATGCCCCACCTGGCTCTGCCCCCAGGGAGACCAAACTAAGACAGAATATAAACTTTTTGAAGACTTCCAATTTCTTAAATTTCTGTTACTAGAAATAACACATCCACTGAAGATGATTAGAAATGTGCCCAGTCACCAAAAAGGACAGAAAGCATTGGAGGTGTGGGAGGTGGCAGGTGGGTAGTGGAAAGATGAGCCAGGATCTCAGATGAAGGGAGAATTGTAACTTCCTGTAGACTGAATACCTTGACACTTAATCCCCAGTGTGATGTTGGGGCGGGGTGGGAGGATACGAATCATGAGGGTGGGAGGTGATCAGGTCATGAGGATGGAGCCCTTATGAACAGGATTTGTGCCCTCTATAAAAGAGGCCCCAGAGAGTGCTGGCCTTCTGCCACATGAACACACACCAAAGCGGCTTCTTTGGACCAGGAATCAGGACCTCACCAGACACGAAGCTGTTGGAGTCTTGATCTCGGACTTCCCAGTCTCCAGAATGGTGAGAAATAAATTTTAGTTGTTTATAAGCCACCCAGACTGGTAGTTTTTTAAAGACGCCCAAGTGGACTAAGGCAGAGCTGATGGATACACAGAATATGCACATGTACCACTCAGTTAAGTCTGTGATGATTTAAGAACACCAAGACCCCCCTAAACCCAGACTCACCCTCTTGAGATCATCCATAGGAATTTGTTGGCCATTTTTTGGAGCAATAATGACAGCCTGCAGGTTACCTCCCTGGTCTCAGAAGGCATATTGTATTTTCCTCTCAAGGACTCTCCTGTTTGTTGCTGTGTCCAGTGTCTCAAGTTCTAAAGACAAGAGAACAGAAACATGAACGTCGAGGATGGAAGAGGGGTAACAGGAAAGAAGGGTCAGTACACAGCCGCGGGCATCGGGGAGACCAGCACCCTGGGAGGCTGAGGCAAGGGGCTGCAAAGCTGAGCCCAGCCTGGTGAGTCAGCAATGGAGGGAAACCCTGATTCAAAATAAAGCATGAATAAAGAGCAAGAGAAAGAGAGGAGGAAAGACAGAAGAAAAGAGGGGCAGATAAAGAAAGAAGGGAGGAAGGAAGGGAAGGAGTGGAGATGTGTTAATGCAAAGGCTTGGGTTCAATCCCTAGCACCACAAAAGAGAGAGAGAGAGAGAGAGAGAGAGAGAGAGAGAGAGAGAGAGAGAGAGAGAGAGAGAGAGAGAGAGAGAGAGAGAGAGAGAGAGAGAGAACTGGAAGATGCAGACCAGAAAAGGAAAACTTGGGGCATCCTGAAACTTTAGCCGTAATTGTTTTTTCTCTCTGTTGTCTTCTAAGAGAAAAGATGATTAATGGTAAAGCTGAAGATCAGCTGTGGCCATCATACGTGTGTGTGCGTGTGTGTGTGTGTGTGTGTGTGTGTGTGTGTGTGTGCCTGCGCTTACCTGCTTACCTCGGTGAGGCTGCGGGCTGCCACCCCATCGTTTCCCCCCACCTGTGCCTCTCTAGCCTCCTGCCTCCTCCCTGCCTTTGAAGAAAGGGTTTTGGGGAACAGAGCCCAGCGGGGGTGACTGGGAGAGCGCTCTCACTGAGCTTCAGAGGGATTCCACCCCAGCCTCCAAGGCAGACTGCATGGGATTGCCAGGTTCGGGTTCCTGAAGAGGCTGAGGGGGTCTCCAATCACTAACACCCTCCCCCAAATGTGGGGGAAAGGACAAAGGACTGCATGCAAGAGGGGGTGGCCTCACCCTGGGTTCTGCGCTCTATCTGCAGAAGCCTCTGGGGGCACCCCTGAATGTCCCTCTGGGTGCCTTCGCAGTCTAGGCAGCCCGCAGGCTCACCGAGGTAAGCAGGTAAGCACAGTAATAGCCCACAGCTCATGGGCTATTGCAGCTTCCGAGCTGCTTTGAGAACACTGCTTAATGATTAGGCCGCTGCCTCAGGCTGTTCCAGCTGCCCTAGCAAGATCCCAGGAGCAGAGTCCTCACAATCAGCAGGGATAGATCCTGTAATTCTGGGAGCTGAGAAGTCCGGGATCGAGGCTGGCAAGGGCTCTCAGGCCGACCACTGGCCCTTTTTGCTGTGTAAGGATCATGGGACCTCCCCTGGGCCCATTTTACAAAAGCTCTGGTCCCCTCCCCGGAGAGGAGGGCAGACTTCCCAAGGCCCTGCCCCCTCCCACCACTGCCTTGTGGGCTCTAACTTCAACGCTGACTTAGGGGGAGACACAGGCTTTAAATCGCAGCGGCCAGGCCTCTGTAAAGTAGCTGCTCTTATTTTTGGTGTGGTTTCACTTTCTCAGTGGAATCCATTGACTGCCGGAGCGATTTAACTTCCCCCAGCTCCCATCGGCAGCCAGAGGCCGTCCTTGTTTGGTCTAAATTTTCTAACCCTTTCCTCCTGAGTCTGAATCCTGCCCGGCTCACTCTCCCCTCCTCTCCCTCATCTTATTCTCTGATGCTTTTCTGTCTTGATGTTAAGGGTTGTGATTTCTAAGGCTCCACAGCGGCCAGTGGGGATCTGGCCAATAGGATGGAAGGGAAACTTTCCATCCCTTCCTTTCTATGGTAGGCTGCGTCTCCCCGCCTCCCGGACACCAGAAACGGTTTTTTCTCTGCCTGGTCTGCTGCTCTGCCACCCTGGGTTTGGCAGGCCTCTCTACACCAAGGGGAGGATGGCCAGAGGAGTGACCCTGCCCACGGGAGCATGCACTCAGCAGGCCGTGTGACCCCACAGCCCCAGAAGGTCTGAGTGTGTGTGTCCTGCCGCTCTGAGGCTGAGCACATTGTTTTAGGGCCCTGCCCAGTGCTCCGCTTCTTTCCCCTTGCTGGGCTGCCTAGCTAACAAATCTGGGTGGTGGAGCGGCATTTCTTTCTCTCATTACCCTGAATTAAGCATCGTTAGGAAGGCAAACACTCTGCCCAGAACAAATAAATCACCTGGCACATTCCAGAGGCAATTTTAAATTATGCTTAATGACCTTTCCCTTTGGATTATTCCAGCCACGATGCTTCCCCTGGCTGGAATAATTGAACACTGACTTGCCAAGAACTCAAACCGCCTTTCAGAGCAGCTAGGGAGCTGCCGCGATGACGCCCCATGGTGATGGCTCTCGGGAAGATGCATCATCCCCAGGGACACAGTGGTGGTGATTGCAGCATTTATAAGCAGTGAATCACACAGCAAGGCATGCTGCGCCAGGGGGACAGACCCAGATCTGGATTGGATGGTTTCCCAAGCCAGAGTCACCCAACAGGCCCGGGAAGCTTGTGAATCCTCTCCGGGGGTGTGATTACCAAGGCCAATGCACGCCATGAGCCAGCACAAATGCCCTGCTGAGAATCCAGGCCGGGACATGTGGGGACAAGACTTGTGCTCAAAGGGCTACAGCAGAGTCTGTGGGCCACAGTTCCTGCCTGTGCTGCTCCCAGCACAAGAGGAGGCACTGGATTGTGGTGTGGTGGAGACAACAGGGACCAGAGGCAGGAGGAGTGGCTTGGCCCCAGCCTCAGAGAAGTGGCGCCATGTTGCCATTCCTTGGCACAGAGAAGCAGACAAGTCTACTGGAAAAACAGAGGTCCCTTGAGGTGATAGAAGCTAGAAGATTCTGCTTCCCTGATCGATGACACTGAACCTTGGCTTGGGAGGTAATGGATCAAGGATACAAGGAACAAGAAGCCCCCAACCCACCCCACCCCAGGATCTGCTGCTGTAATGCAACTTCAGGGAGTCCCCTCGTCATATGCCAAAGACACTGAGAGATTGGGAGCAGTGGTGGAGGTGCTCCACGAACTAAAGGGCTCTTAAGTTCCTCTCATTCCTGTCATTCTGTGATTCTAGTTTAATGTGCAGACAGGACAAACATGGCTCAAAACTACATAAGCAACAAGACACGGGGAGCAAAGCAATGGGGTACTACTCACCGAGACATGAAGTGGTCAAGTCGAGCTTTGCCTTCCTGCCTGGAGCGTGACCTTTATCACCTGTGGTCCTCAGCCAGGCCACAGACAGCTGGTGGCAGGGTCGAGGATGGGAAATCAGGGCTGAACACAGAGGAGGAGGGCGTGAGAACAGGCAGAGGAGCCTTCCCGGAAGTTCAGAGAGCTGGGTATAAAAGAAATTGGAAGGAGAAAATTCTGAAAAAAGCCTTTTTTTTTTTTTTTTTTTTCTTTTTTAAAACTGAAAGCTGCAAATCTTTTCTCCCTGGAAAGGGATACTGTGCTGTTGATTCATCCAGATTTGAACTTCATGAAAGCTGAGATGATCCAATCTTTGTCCTGCAGAGAAAGAGCTGGTGTGAGGGAGGGGAGGATGGAGAAGGTTCAGGGCCCCCCTGGGCCTTCTATGAGCCAAACCCCTATCCCAGGTCCCTCTCCTGTAAAAGCACGAGCGCTTGCCATGTGGATGCACAGGAGCTTCTTCTATGAGGGTTGCTCAGTGAGCACCTCTGGGCAATCTTTGCAGGGCCGGCCAGGAGAGGGAGAGGTTTGTGCGGTCTCCTCTGGTGGCTGGAGCAGACTGAGGGTCTGAGCAGGTTCACTGAGCACCTCCTGCCTGGGTTCTGTTGTTCAAGTCCAGCCTGGGCCACTTAGTAATCATGACTCCTTGAATAAGTTGCTTGACCTCTCTGATCTCATGTGATGCTTGGTTCTCACATGGGGTCAATCACTTATTTAAACAGGCTTGGACTGAGAATCCAGTGTAAGGCCAGAGGTGGTGCCTTAACCCTGAATTCGTGTCTTCTTGTCATCCAAGTTATAGGCAAATGAGTGAAACTGATTTCAAAAAGTGAAATATATCATGTGAATAAAATTTCTAGTAGATTGACTTTGACTTTTACCACTTTTCAGTATTGTTTGTGGATGTGCATATATGAGAATATGTCTGTCAGGGCTGAACTGTGTCCAACAAGAAAGAGAAACCCAAGAAATCAGAAATCTGGGTTCTGACTCCAGACTTTTTAATGAGAGAGATTCTGGGCAGATCCTTTAATCTTGTTGAGTCTTGATGATCTCATCTGTAAATGGGGAGACAAATGCTTCTCTCCAAGGGTTGTGGTGAGGATCAAATAAAATCACGAGTGTAAGGGCTCATACTGAACCACAGGGGAAGCGATACATGTAGAAGCTGTCCCCGAGCCGAGCATTTAGCTCAGCAGCACAAGCGCCTGCCTGGCAAGCGTGAGGTCTTGAGTCTGATCCCCAGTAACTGACCCCCAAAAAAGAAGCTGTCCTGATCTGCTTGAAGCATCTAGTAACTGGGTTGACTTCCTAGGCCATGTGATTGATATCTTGGCAGACATCTGAGCTTGCTTCTCCTCCAATTTTTCAGTTTCTCGTTCAGTCTCCCCCTTCCCCAGGCCTTTTTGACCTTGTTGTACCTAAGAATGGTTCCGAAACACACTCTTGCTCTGAAAGATCAGAAGGACACGGGAGCAGGACGATTCGCTGCTAATGCAAGGCTCTCTCCCTGCTCGCCTTCCACCCCATCTCCAGACTTGCATTGCTCTAGCAAAGTGCCTTCCTCTTCCCTGCTTTGTGCTTACCAAGTATCAAAAGGAAAAAAAGAAAAGATACTTGGGACACAAGGAACTGGGACCTCTAAGTTGCCCCATCACAAACGTGGCATAAATCACCCCAATGCAACAAAGAAGAACCGGGTCTCGCCCTCTAATGCTCCCTCTCGCTCTTCTCCCAGGCACCGCCTCGCACATTGAACAGGCTGTGGAGGTGGTCGCTGCCGTGCAGCTGGGAACCAGAACAGGAGCTGTTCCCGGCCCACGCGGGTGTGTGTGGACTGACTTCTGCCCATCTTGCTTTGAACATAAAATACCCGGTCAGTTTTTCTTAGGGGGACTGAAACCCTTTTCTAAATATAAAACCATGTATATCATATCATATAAAATTTGAAAATAAGGAAAAAAAACTATCCACAATTCTTCCGCTGCAACATCTAGAAGTTTTGGAGTCATAAATATAGATCATGGGTTTGTGCGTTTAATGTGCTTTTTATACCTAACGTAACAACATAAGCAACTTCCCCAACCTTAAAATCTTCAAAAGAGCAGAGATTTTAAAGACAGCAGAATGTCATCATACAGGTGAACCCTAATTTATTTAACAGATTCTGTATTGTTTGACATATTGGCTGATTTCTTTCTCTTTTTTTTTCCCATTAGGGAATACTGCTATTAATATCCTTGAACATAACTATTCATGTCTCTGATTATTCCCTTAATATGAATTGCTACAAATAGAACCGCTGGGTCAAAGGGTTGGAACATTTCTGAACATCTTGATACACAGGGCCAGACTGTCAACCAAATATGTCCCAGCGTCCTCCCCAACGAAGTGTGGAGAGGATCAATCACTGCACCTCCCCCGGCGCGGCTGGGCGCCATCTCAATGTCAACCTTTGCTGTCTTAATTAGTGAACACTTACTTGCCTTATCTTTGTGTGGCAGCCCTCTCTTCCCCCTCCGGCCTCAGTACTGTCTTGCTTGCTACAGGTTAGTTGCGTGTGTGCCATGCCTACTCACAGACAGAACCTGAGGGGCTCCAACTGAACCCTAAGCTCTTACAGCCACTAATTTCCCTCCCCTTTAACCTTTGTTAAAGGCAATCTACTGGCACAGTAGATGTCACATAGCCAAGTTTGATATGTGTTTGGGGATTTTTTTAAACACACAAAAATAGAAAGTATTCTCTCCTTTGCTGATGCTGATAGCTCCTCTATATAATCTCTCTCCCAGTTCCCATTGCTGTTATAGGGGCTATTACGTAACTCCAGTTTATTTCTACCTATGTATGATTATAGTTTGTTAAAAGATAAAAAACAAACAAAACTTCATTTTCTCAGCTGGATTATTAGTTGCTCATAGGCAGAGAATACAACTTTTCATTCTTTTAGAAGAAATGAATCCAGTACATATGGACAGCTACTTTTTGCTTTCAATCATTTACTCATTTAACAAGCACTGTTGAGTGTCTGTTATACAAGATCTAAAAATGCAGTGAATTTTTGGAAAATTTATTATAATATAAGACACATTGCCATTAATCTCTCTCAAAATACTCCCCTTTGCTTCAGACACGTTTGTCTCATGGTTCTTGCCAATTTCTGAAGCGGTTCAGGAAGTCCTGTTTCGTGAGTATCTTTAGCTGTGTTGCTGGGGCTGCCTTGATGTCCTGATCAATTCAAACGCTTATCTTCCATGGTCCTTTTGGCTCTGGAGAAGAACCGTAGTCACATGGTGCCCGAGCTGATGAACGGGGCCACTGAAATGCCTCAAAAGCCCACCATTTTGTTTGGTGGCAGTTGGCAGTGTCATTCCCTACATTTTTTGTCCATCTGCTTACGACACTCATGAAAGAGGATTCCCGAAAGGGCTTCAGAAAGCGCCAAGAACAGTGGATTGTGTGTCTGAGCGATGCCATGAGGGGGACTCATGGCAGTGCACCTTTTACTTGAACACCATTTTATTTAAACGTTCACTGTATACACAGATCACCCCCTTGTATATCAGGCGCTGCACCCAACATGAAGGAGATTAGCAGAGACTTCACATGATTGCCAAAGTGTGTGAAACAGATCATGTTTCACTCAACAATATTTGATAACCTGTTTGCTTCATGGCCATCAATACTACAAGTTTTCATTCTTAGTTTTTTCCAATCTGAAGACTATAATATTGTTATCCCTTCTTGTTTCCCTAATTGATAGTGATATTGAACATCATTTGAATATATTTATTGAACATTAGGATTTTCTGTTCTATGAATTACACATGCACTCACACCATTTATCTAGTTTACCATGTCTGTCTTTTCTAATCAATTTCTGAGTTCTTTGTATATGACAAATACTATCAATTAATGTAGTACAATTAATATGCTTTTCTACATAAAAAATTTATTGGCTCTTCTTTGCCTTCAGAATAAAATTCAAATGCTTTACCAAAGTAGGGTGGGTTGTCCCATTCAGATGCCTTTCATAAGAACAGTTAGACAGATCCCTTACCCTATTTATAGCCATTGGTTTGCAAAGAGGTTGAGCTGTACAGACTGTAAGGGAAGAGTCCACATCTTGGTTGTGGTTGGATTTTTGTCATCTGAGGGACTTTGTTGTCATCTGAGGAACCCTCAGGGAGCATGATTATAGGAAGTGGGAGCCCTGAGACTGAGTCATCATGTAGCAGGAATCTGGTGCCTTGAACCACACATTTGAGGTGGTACCACCAAGGGTAATGGTGCTCATTGCTCCTGAGGGAGCCTGGAACTTGTCCTGCTTGGTCATTTTGGCAGCATGAGGGGCTTCCAGAAGCAAAAGCCCATTTGGGCTGCTGCTATGACCAAAAAAAAAAGTTCAACAGAAATTCCTACAGCTCTAGAGGCTAGGAAGTCCAAGGTCAGGTGCCTGCAGTCCCGTGGCTGGACTTGCCCTGCCCTGGGTCCTCTAGACCTGAGGTATGAGGCTGAGTTCTCTCCTTGGGGAGGCCGGAGGAGGGGCAGGCAGCTCTCCGAAGCCTGTCATGGGGACATAATGCCTTTTACAATGGTGTGGCCATCATGACTTCATTATTTTCCCAGACATCCAGCTCTACGGTTGTCCTGGGGGTGACATTTCAGCGTGAATTTTGAAGGGACACAAACTTTTACACCATAGCAGCAGAAGCTTAAAGAGCTGCTGCTGCAGAGCCCAGCACCGCGCTGTGGACCCCTTTCCAGGCCTGTGGCCGGGAGCTGCTTCCTTCTCCCACTTGGCTAGAGCAGAAGTGCGCCTTGTACTGCAATACATTTTAAAAATTTAAATATTCAGGGTATATTTTGATCAAACCAGGTAGATTCATACACATGGAAGCAAGATCTTTGGAAGGGGATAACACATATGAATGACAAGATTATAAAGTGATTTTTCCCCCTCCTGTGCAGTATTCTTTGTTTTTTAAAAATATTTCCTAGCAAACATGGATTTTTTTCTATAATTAGAGAAAATATACATGAATATTTAACAAAAAGTAAGTTTGGCTGTTCAAGGAAAGAAACAGAATGGGTATCTGTTTTGCGCCTCTACCACAAAATACAATCGGCTGGGTAACTTATCAAGCGTGAAAATGTGTCTCTCACAGTCAAGATAGGGACCTTCGTGCCATGTCCTCAGATTTCGGAAGGCAGAAGAGTGAGAGAGAACCAACTTCTTCTGAGAAGTCCTTCCTCGGGGCACCAGATCTACTTCCCAGGGAGCAGTCTCAGGGCCTGGTCACCCCCTGAAAACCGCAATTCGGCCCCATCACACCGACAACACTTGAACCGCAGCAGAGAGACCAGCCAGGGCTGACTCTGGCTGGAGACGCCCTCTGCTGAGACCCCCACCTCTGTCACTCCAGGCAGCAGATGCATCCACTTTCTGTTGCATGCTCTGCCCTGCTGGGGCTTCACTCTGAGTCCTTGCACTGTGGCTTCCTAAGTGAATTCCACTCTTCCCTCGTGCCCAAGTCCCGCTCAGTCTGCAAGGCCCAGCTTGGGTTTGTCTATTTATTCACCTGTGCCACCCAGGTTCTAGTTGGAGTCTCAGAACCTCACAGCTCCCAGGTCCGGGATCTTGAAAGTGCTCTCTTCTCTCTGCCTTTTCTCTTTGCTACCTGTGATAGCCCATTCTGACAGTGTCATTTCAGGACAGAGGCCTTGCCTTGAAGCCTGGCTTCCTGATGCTTTTGGATTGGGGGCCAGTATTATGCTCAGGCTGCGTGCGAGTGTACATGTGTTTCCTTTAACTTCTACTCTTAGAGGCTTAATTTACTGGAGGGGAAGCACCTGTGATCTCTGTTT